CTGTGCAAGGTAATTCCATCTTTCAAAGGATTTGATGTTACATTCTACCACACATAAAACTGAATTAAACTTTTACGGAATTGGAAATGCACATCATTGATCAAAATAAATCAAACATGAAAAGAGTAGGAAGGAATAACCAGTGATGGAATAGCAAATGTGAATGGAAAACAGAATAGGACTGCTAAAAAGACAAAAAAAGCTTCAGAAGCACATAATAGCTGTGTGATTTAAAAATCACAGTGGTCTCCAAATGACTTCTATCACATCTCATTCAATACCAGAGCAAAAGATGTTAAGTTTATTATGGAATGCCCACCAAATAGCTAGTTTTTGAAAAAACCTTGTTTCTCAATTTGAGCTAACCATTTCAGGCTACTGCTTCAAACCAAAGTTACTGGCATCATGCTAAGCTAGATGTGTTGACTGAAGTATGAGATTCACACTTTTGTAAATGAAAAGCAATTTGATTAGGCAATGTTTTTCTAAGTGAAAGCAAGTTTACTGAGAATTAAGGAAACAAAAGAATGGCTACTCCAGATAGCAGAGTTTTTTGTTTTTTAAGTGTAGGCAAATATTTAGTGAAGATGATATTTCAATAAGAAAACTGGCGCTTGGGACATGCTTCCACTAAATTTGAGACATCTTAGACAGAGCAAAGTTTTATTTTTGAGGCATTATTTTTATGGGATTGAAGTCTTGGAACTATTTAATCTAGTTACTCTATGTTCTCAACTGTGATAACTCATTGAAAACAACATTGTTATTAAAGGTATTCACAAGAAAAATTCAGAGATACTGTTGCATCTCCTTTCTGTGTTTCAAACTGTTTTCTCCTAAGCACCCAAGGCTCTGTGATGTCTCAAACATTTAATCATTAATTTTAAAAGAGAAGCTTATTATGGAAATAGAAAAAAACTATTTTAAAATTCATATGGATCCAATAAGAGCTCATATAGCCAAAAGAATATTAAGCAAAAAGAACAAAGCTGGAGGCTTCATACTCTGCCACTTAAAACTATACTATAAGGCTACAGTAAACAGAACAGCATGATACTGGTACAAAAACAGGCACATAGACCAATGGAACAGAATAGAGAACTCACAAAAAAAGACTGCACATCTACAACCATCTGATCTTCAACAAACCTGACAAAACAAGCAATGGGGAAAGGATTCCCTATCTAGTAAATGGTGATGGGAGAACTGGCTCACCATATGCAGAAAATTGAAACTGGACCTCGTCCTTACACCTTACGCAAAAATTAACTCAATATAGATTAAAGACTTAAATGTAAAACGCAAAACTATAAAAAACTCTGAAAGAAAATCTAGGCAATACCATTCAGGACACAGGCATGGGCAAAGATTTTATGAAGAAATCGCCAAAAGCATCTGGCACAAAAGCAAAAATGGGCAAGTAGGATCTAATTAAACAAAAGAGCTTCTGCACAGAAAAAGAAACTGTCATCAGAGAAAACAGACACCCTACAGAATGGGAGAAAATTTTTGCAATCTATCTATCTTACAAAGTTCTAATATTCAGAATCTACAAAGAACTTAAGCAAATTTGCATGAAAAAAACTTCATTCAAAAGTGGACAAAGGAGATGAAGAGACATTTCACAAAATAAGACTTAACATGTGGCCAAAAAAATATGAAAAAAACTCAACATCACTGATTACAGAAATGCAAATCAAAACCACAAATGAGATACTATCTAATGCCAGTCAGAATGGCAATTATTTAAAAGTAAATAAACACCAGATGTGGCGAGGTTGTGGAGGAATAGGAAGGCTTTTACACTGTTGGTGGAAATGTAAATTGGTTCAACCATTGTGGAAGACAATTTGGTGATTCCTCAAAGATTTAGAACCAGAAACACCATTTCACCCAGCAGTCCCATTACAGGGTATATAACCAAAGGAGAATAAACCATTCTATTATAAAGATACATGCATGTGTATGTTCATTGCAGCACTATTCACAATAGCAAAGACATGAAATCAACCCAAATGCCCATCAATGATGGACTGCATCAAGAAAATATGGTACGTATTTACCATGGAATATTATGCAGTCATGAAAAGGAATTAGATCAAGTCCTTTGCAGGGGTATGGATGAAGCCAAAAGCCATTATCCTCAGCCAACTAACACAGGAACAGAAAGCCAAACACCACATGTTCTTACTTATAATTGGGAGCTGAGCAATGAGAACACATGGACACAGGGAGAGGAACATCACACACTGGGGCCTGCTGGGGGAGGGCAGTGGTAGGAGGAGCATTAGGAAAAATAGCTAATGCATGCCAGGATTAATACATACGTAATGGGTTGATAGGTGCAGCAAACCACAATAGCACACATTTAGCTATGTAACAAGCCTGCACATCCTGCACATGTACCCTGAAACTTTAAATTAAATTAAAAGACAAGCTAAAGGCATTAACGAAAATAATTAGATAAAAAAAACTTTGATTTTTCAAAATCCTGAAACAAGTGTTTTAATTTTGCTTTAAACATATATTCAAATCCTTTAATACTGTTCCATTCCAGAGGTGCTGCTTAATTTCCTCTCTTGAGTGTGGCTTGGACATAATGAGGCACTTCTGATATGGTCTGGCTCTGTGTTCCCACCCAATTCTCATCTTGAATTGTCATGCAAATTGTAATCCCTGTGTATTGGGGGAGGGGCCTCATGGGAGATGATTGGATCATGGGTATGGTAACTCCATGCTGTTCTTATGATACTGAGAGAATTCTCATGAGATCTGATGGTTTCATGAGGGGCTTTTCCCCATTTCGATCTGCATTCCTCTCTCCTGCCACCATGTGAAGAAGGACGTGTTTGCTTCCACTTCTGCCATGGTTGTAAGTTTCCTGGGGCACCTCCTCAGCCATGCAGAACTGTGAGTCAATTAAACCTCTTTCCTTTATAAATTACCCAGTCTCAGGTATTTCTTTATAGCAGTGTGAGAAGAAACAAATACAACTTCAAACTGATGGAGTAATGCTGACATAATAGTTTGTGACTCTGGGTGTAGAACATAAAACTCACTGCAGGCTCCCCCTTCTCTCTCAAGGTCTCTGGGATCATGAGCTCTAGGGGAAGCCACCTGCTGTGCAATAAGCAGCCCTGAGGCCTGAGTCAAGGTCCATGTGGCTGAGAACTGAGGCCTTCTGGGAACAGACAGCAAGGAACTAGGCCTTTTCCACAGCCATGTGACTGATTCATGTTTCATGTGAATCCTCAGCCCCAGTGAAGCCCTCAGACGATGCAGGCCTAGGCTGACAACTGGACTGCAACCTTGTGAGAGGCCCTGAGCCAGAAGCACTCAGGGAAACCTCTCCTGGATCCCTGACCATCGGAAACTGTGGGAGATGATGAATATTTGCTGTTTTGAGCTGCTAAATTTTACATAATTTGTTATGCAATAGTAAATAACTAATATATTTTCATAAAAGAGAATCTATTATTACATGTTAGTTTACATTTGCTCTAAATGTATCATTATTATTCATATTATTGTTATTTATACAGGGTCTCACTCTGTCACCCAGGCTGGAGTGCAGTGGCATGATCACCATGCACTGCTGTGTCGACCTCCTGGGCTCAAGGGACCCTCTGATCTCAGCATCCTGAGTACCTGGGACTACAGGCATGAAGCACCACGCCTGGCTAATTTTCTAAATTTTTTTGTAGAGATGGGGGTTTCCCCATGTTGCCCAGGCTGATCTTGAACTTCTGGAGTCAACAAATTTGCCTTCCTCTGCCTTCCACGGTGCTAGAATCACAGGCGTGAGCCACCACACCTGGCCTAAATTAATTATAAGACATTAAACATGTAACTTAGTTTTAAAAGGTAAGAAGAATGTCCATGGGTGAAGAGGATGCATTTTATTACCATTCACAATGATCACTTTACTTGAACTTCAATTTCCTACTGTGTCCCAATTAAACACGAAAGGAAGATCCAATCCTTGCTGGGCTGATTCTATGATGGCCTCAACAACCAGCTCCTGGTCATTCACCTTCCCCCAGTTATTCAACCAACTCTGATGTAGGTGCTGCTGTGAAGGGATTTAGCAGATATAATTAAGGGCCTCAATTAGTTGACTTTAGACTGGATTTATCCTGCTTGGACTGTCCTAATCAGGTGAGCCCTTGAAAGGACTGGGTTCTTCCTGAGCGTAGAGAAATACAGTGTGAGAGGGATTCAGCGTGAGGGGTTTCCTCCACCGTGGGCTTTGAAAATGAAGAGGCTGTGTAGGAAAGAACGCTGTTGGGCACCAGGAATTGAGCACAGCCCTCCCTGTTCTCTATATTGACAGCCAGCAAGGAACAGGAACCTCAGTCTTACAACTGCCAGAAACTTCATTCTGCCACCTCTGTATAAGCCTGAAGGAGGATTCAAACTGAAAACACAGCTTTTGGAAGCCCAGAACAGATTCTCTCCACATTTTGCCCAGATTTCTGAGCAAGGAACTATAAGCAGATAAATGGGTGTTGTTTAGCCGGTCGTGGTAGTGCATGAATGAATTGATGAATTGATATGCACACTAGTTACATAAAATAAAATCTTTCTGAACTTTTTCAGTATTTTACATTTTATAATTTTCTGTGATGCAATTTAATACACTCATATTTCATTCATTCAGTCAACAAAAATTAATCCCTACGATGAACCAGGTGTACCCTCATATGCTCACGTGCCTGACATTCCAGAAGCTTCACAAGACCAAGGTGGAGCCACTGGAATGTTTTAGGTGGAGAAATGACACACTGTGACTCACAGGAGCAGGACCACTGTGGAGAGAACAGTCACGTAGCAGGTCATGGGACAGTGCTAGAGCCACAATTCGGGAGTGACAGGGTGGTGGGGACTAAGGGGAGAGGAGTGCCTGAGGGATGAGAGGGATGGAGGGAAGGGCTGGAGAAGCAGGAGGTGAGGAAATGGAGCAGAGGGAAAGAATTCGAAAGCAGCAGAATTCTTAGGTTTAAACACTTGTTTAATAGATTTTTAATACATCCATCTACAGAGCCTCGCTGGGTGTTCTTTGCAGTTGACCTTTAATACCTTATGTGGGTCTGCCCGAAAACTAATTGTTTTTACATTAATCAGATTTTAAAAATACTAAGTGTTCCTATCAAATATACACAACACTTAGATGTGGATTATTCCTAAAAACAGGCAGTGCATGAGCACTGGTGAGGGGCACTGTGACTGCATTGAGTGCTTGCCACTGTGAGGTGAATAAAGTCTGTACTGGCTCCTGGTTGCAACATAAAATAACACAGTGGCTATTTTGTATTAGGAGATGTCCTGGACTCACAAAGAAACGCAGGGCTATGGAATGAAGGTAAATATAAAATACTACAAGCGGGAGTCACAGATACATTGTCTGTGAAAGTGAAACTTAGGAGCTTTGTGAGTCCTGTTGTAACGCTTTTAGACACCTTTATATGTCAAGGGACCAAAGTCACATTTTCTACCGATTAGATTCCTGATCATTCAGGGGTTACCAAGATTCTGCTACCCACTGTAGTTAATAAACAAAAAGCAAACTGGTCTCTGTTCTATCTCATGCACTCAGGCACAACTTTTCCAGATTTAAAGAAAAAGAAAAAAGAAAAGAAAAAAAAGCCCTGTCTCTACACCTCCATTCCCAGGGCAAGCTCACTCTCTGGCACCAAGCTCTCTGGGGTGATTTTTCTTCTAGAAGAGTCCACTGGGACAGGTAAGGAGTAGGAGGCAGGGAGTCCAGTTCTGGGACGGGGAGTCCGTGATGAAAAGTGAAGAGAGAGGGACGGGGCCCATGCCGTGTGTTTCTCCCTGGTTTCTCAGACAGTTCCTGGGCCAAGACTCAGGGAGACATTGAGACAGAGCGCTTGGTACAGGAGTAGCGGGGTCAGGGCGAAGTCCCAGAGCCCCAGGTATGGCTCTCAGAATCTCAGGCTCAGAAAGCGTGTGTGGACTGGGGAGGCCCAGCGTTGGGGATTCCCCATCTCCGAAGGGTTTCTCTTCTCCCTCTCTCAACCTGCGTCTGGTCCTTCTTCCTGGATACTCACCGGGCGGCCCCAGTTCTCACTCCTATTGAGTGTCGGGTTTCTAGAGAAGTCAATCAATGTAGCCACGGTCCCGGTTCTAGAGTTCCCACGCACCCACCAGGACTCCGATTCTCCCCAGTCGCCAAGGATGGGGTCATGGCGCCCCGGACCCTCCTTCTGCTGCTCTTGGGAGCCCTGGCCCTGACCCAGACTTGTGCGGGTGAGTGCGGGGTCGGGAGGGAAACAGCTTCTGTGGGGAGTAGCTAGGGGTCCGCCCGGCGGGGGCGCAGGAACCCGGTTGCGGTGCCGGGAGGAGGGTCGGGAGGGTCTCAGCGCCCCCCTCGTCCACAGGCTTCCACTCCTTGAGGTATTTCCACACCGCCACGTCCCGGCCCGGCCGCGGGATGCCCCCGCTTCATCTCCATGGGCTAAGTGGACGACACGCAGTTCGTGCGGTTAGACAGCGACGCCGCAAGTCCTAGGATGGAGCCGCGGGCGCCGTGGATGGAGCAGGAGGGGCCGGAATATTGGGAGGAGAAGACAGGGACCGCCAAGACCAACGCACAGTTTACCCAATGAACCTGCGGACCCTGAGCGGCTACTAGAACCAGAGCGAGGCCTGTGAGTGACAACGGCGGGGGCGCAGGTCACTACCCCTGCACATCTCCCACGGACAGTCCGGGTCTCCCCGAGTCTTCGGGTCCGAGATCCATCCCGAGGCCGCGGGACCCGGAGACCCTTGACCTGGGAGCAGCCTAGGAGCCGTTACCCGGTTTCATTTTCAGTTTAGGCCAAAATCCCCGCAGGTTGGTCGGGGTGGGGGTTGGACTTGGTGGGCGGGGCTGACCGCGGGCGCAGGGCCAGGGTCTCACACCATCTAGAGGATGCCTGGCTGCGACAAAGGGTCCGAGGGGCGCCTCCTCCGGGAGTATCACCAGCTCGCCTACGAAGGCAGGGATTAGTCGCTCTGAACCAGGACCCGTGCTCCTTGACCGCCGCAGACACGGCGGCTCAGATCACCCAGCTCAAGTGGGAAGCTGCCGGCGAGGCGGAGGTTCATCCTCACAGGGGTAGGTACCTATTCGATGTGGTGTGTTTTTCTCTCTACTCTCAGACCCTCAGCCAGTATCACTATTGGCATTCCTGATCCACTGGCTCAGAATTTCAGTACATTATCTGCCCGCGGGACACACCTCAGAGGGAAAGGGATGAAGCGTGGGCCATGACCAAGGCATCTCCTGGTCATATCACCACCTGCACCTCCCAGGGGCTGCCAGCCACACCGAGTCATGGACAGGTCTCCACAGACACAACTTAGTACCAGCTTGGATGAAGCCCTCTGAGGAACGGGGGCCAGCTTTCAGGATGTGCTGCGCGTATTAAATCAAAGACGTCCCTATGGTGCTGTGTTTACAGAAGGAAGAATTCGTGGGTCCAAAAACCAAGAAGTTGAAACAGGTGTGGCTCCATGTCTCATCCCTTCTATTCACCCTCAGGGTGATTTTGCACTTCTCCTCTCCAATATCGGGGCTCTGCAGGGGAGGAGGTCCTGGTTTCCCAAAGGGGGCACCCTGGCAAGGAGACAAATGAGAGTCCATGGAACTACACATTATGGGTGCCCCCAGGGATGTTTGAATAGTATGTGTCCAGACACAAGCAGGTGAGAAGAGGAGGAGGCAGGGCTGCTATCACACAAGGAAGGCAGAAGTGTGTGTGGAAATAAGAGATCCACTTGGAGGCCTTATGGTTCCCCTTGTCCTGTTGTAAATGTGAACAGAATCATCCAGCAACGCAGCCTGAGAGGGTTTGATATTCAAGAGCCCAGAACCCTCAGGAAGGAAGGATTGAGTGATACACCTAGATAATGTCCCAAGGCTCCGCTCCTGTGCTCTGACATCCTCAGAAGCCCTGCTTCCCATGGGCTGTTCCCAGCCAGTGACCGGTCACAGCAGGCGCACTAAGGCAGGCCATTACTGGGAGACACGGGACTCCTCTGATGGCCAACTGTGGCTGGAGGACTCCTCCATGGCCTTGCTCAACCCTCCTTAGATTGCCTGTGCTCTAGGATGTGTCGAACAAACCTTCTCTCCTTCTGTCCAGCACTTGGTGTCACACTCGCATTGTGATCTGCTGCCTTTTCCTGGGATTTCTGGCTCGCTTCGCATATTCCCTTACAGGTGTGTCCCCTCATAAAATGCCGCAGACTTGAAGCTCATCTTGGCATCTGCTCCTTGAAGGACTTAGACTAAAAATTATTTCCATCTGCACATCAATAACTCTTACTTACTTCAACTTGTAAAATCCTTCTCTTCGTCCAACTTCTGCCACCCCCATAGAATCTATTTTACTTGTGTTTGTAGTATCTCTTTGAGTTAACGGATACTTGTTCTATTAAGCTATTAAATTTTGAGGTAGTTTGTGACACAGCACTTGATAACCATTAAGGCTTCCTTTTTTTTTTTTTTTTTCTTGAGATGGAGTCTCACTCTGTCGCTCAGGCTGGAGTTCAGTGGGTCAATCTCCGCTCACTGCAAGCTCCGCCTCCCGGGTTCACGCCATTCTCCTGCCTCCTGAGTAGCTGGCACTACAGGTGCCTGCCACCACGCCGGGCTAATTTTTTGTATTTTTAGTAGAGACAGTTTCACCATGTTAGCCAGGATTGTCTCGATCTCCTGACCTCGTGATCTGCCCATCTCGGCCTCCCAAAGTGCTGGGATTACAGGCGTGAGCCATTGCGCCTGGCCAAGGCTTTCTTAAGTTTCCATTATTCCGTGGATATTATCTACACATCTTTTAATACCTTTCATTTTAATAACATTAGCCATATTTGCCGTTTCCAACCCTTTCCTCCTATTCTTTTTTGAACATTTTTATTTTGTCTTTCTCTGTCCTTCCTTCCTTCTTTCCTCCTTTCCTCCCTCAGAGCTTTCTCCCGCCCTCTATTTTTTTCATAAAACCTAAGTGTTCAGGCTAAAAGGAAGCATCACTTGAACTTAATGCCAAAAGTATAATGCCATAATTTATAATATAAAAGTAAAGAAAAGGAAGTTATTAATTGAATATGAAGAAAATGTCTAGGGTGATTCTGCAGCCAAGACAGTGGCTTTTAATATTTAATCTCCTACTTCAAGTGAATGTTTTCAGAAACACGAGCAACATGAGCTCTTTCCCATTCTTGGTACAAGCACTTGAGAAATCAAATTAGCCTTATCTAGTCTGATTAATGTCCATACACCGTATAATCCCACCGTCTGCCTCCTGATCATACACTCTGGGGACATTCTTGGCTATGTGTCCAGGAGACATGTAAAATGGAATGTCTTATAAAACTACAATAATCCAGACAGTGTGAAAGTGAGAGACACAGAGATCAATGAACAGAAGTGAGAATCTAGAAAGACATTCTTACATTTTTTGTCAATTGATCATCAATAAAGTTGCATAGGTAATACGAAGTGACACTTACCACCACATAAAATATAAGCTTGTCTAAAACACCAAAAGCAATGGCAACAAAAGCCAAAATTGACAAATGGAATCTAATTAAACTAAAGTGCTTCTGCACAGCAAAAGAAACTACCATCAGAGTGAACAGGCAACCTACAGAATGGGAGAAAATTTTTGCCATCTACTCATCTGACAAAGGGCTAATATCCAGAACCTACAAAGAACTCAAACAAATTTACAAGAAAAAAACAAACAACCCCATCAAAAAGGGGCTGGGCAAAGGATATGAACAGACACTTCTCAAAAGAAGACATTTATACAGCCAACAGACACATGAAAAAATGCTCATCATCACTAGCCATCAGAGAAATGCAAATCAAAACCACAATGACATACCATCTCACACCAATTAGAATGGCAATCATTAAAAAATCAGGAAACAACAGGTGCTGGAAAGGATGTGGAGAAACAGGAACACTTTTATGCTGTTGGTGGGACTGTAAACTAGTTCAATCATTGTGGGAGATAGTGTGGTGATTCCTCAAGGATCTAGAACTAGCAGTACCATTTGACCCAGCCATCCCATTACTGGGTATATACCCAAAGGATTATAAATCATGCTGCTATAAAGACACATGCACATGTATGTTTATTGCGGTACTATTCACAATAGCAAAGACTTGGAATCAACCCAAATGTCCATCAGTGACAGACTGGATTAAGAATATGTGGCACATATACACCATGGAATACTATGCAGCCATGAAAAAAGATGAGTTTGTGTCCTTTGTAGGGACATGGATGCAGCTGGAAACCATCATTCTCAGCAAACTATTGCAAGAACAGAAAACCAAACACTGCATGTCCTCACTCATAAGTGGGAAAGGAACTATGAGATCACTTGAACACAGGAAGGGGAACATCACACACCAGGGCCTATTGTGGGGAGGGGGGAGAGGGAAGGGATAGCATTAGGAGATATACCTAATGTAAATGACGAGTTAATGGGTGCAGCACACCAACATGGCACATGTATACATAGGTAACAAACCTGCACGTTGTGCACATATACCCTAGAACTTAAAGCATAATAAAAAAAGAAAAAATATATAAGCTCAAACAAATTAGAGACCTAAACAGCTAAAATTTATGAGTTAAAACTATCAAATTTCTAAAAGAAAATATAGGAGAAAATTTTTGTGACATTGGGTAGTCAGGCAAAAGATTCTTAGATAAATTACCAAAAACATGATCTACAAATGAAAAAAGAGAGAGAGAGAAATTGGGCTTAGTTAAAATTTAAAACTTAAGTGCTTCAAAAGACATTATTGAGAAAATGAGAAGACAAGCCATAGATTGAGGGAAAAATTTTCACAGTTGATCACAAATTACATTTGTGATGAAGAACATCTATCCAGAATATAAGACAAGTTCTTAAACTCAATGTACAAAGACGAGCAACTCAACCAAAAATGAGCAAATCATACAAATATGCACAACTGACTTTTACAAAAGCACAAAAGCAATTCAATGAAGGAAGGAGCGCTTTCCCAACGAATGGTGCTGGAACAACTAGACAACCACAGTGGGAAAAAATAACCTGAGCCCAAACTTCATGCTTTATACAAAAAATAACTCAAAATGAGTCACAAGCTTTAATGTAAAACACAGAGTTAAAATGGCAAACATTGAGCCAGGTGTGGTATCACAGGCCTGTACTCTCAGCTACTCGGGAGGCTGAGGTGGGAGGATCCCTTGAGCCCAGGAGTTCAAGGCCAGCCTAGGCAAGAATTTTTTTTTTCTAAAATAAATAATAAGTTTAAAACTTAAAATTACAAACCTTTTAAGAAAAAGTCATCCAAACTAAGACTGGACAGAGTTCTTAGACATAACACCAAGAGTATGTTCCATCAAAAAAAAAGTTAACAAATTGGATCTTATCAACACTAAAAACTGTTGCTCTGTGAGAGACCTGTGAAGAGCTAAAAAGACAAGCTACAGAACGAGAGAAGATATTTACAGACAACATATTCTGTAAAGACTGTATTCAGAATATATGGAGAAATTAAAAAACCCAACAGTAAAAATGAAATCCAAATACACAATAGGCAATAAGCAA